GCAGGAAAACAATGGCATTTGTGCCTGAATCCAATAGCCAATAGCAGTGACCCCCACCTAGTCTTCCTCTGCCTTCAGGTGCGAAACTTTGGATGTCATATTTTTATACATTTCTATTGACAGAGTGAGGGTTTTTGACCTGTGACACTATCTCCATTTGCCTATTAAAACAGAGGCCACAGCTAGGTATGGTGAGATATGCCTGAATTCCAAGCTACTCAGGAGGCTGAGGCAGGAGGATCCCAAATTTGACACCAGCCTGGACAACTTAGTGAGACCCTGTCTCAAAATTTAAAAAGTAGCGCAGTGTACAGGCCCTCAGCTCAGTCCCTAGTACCAAAAAAACAAAACAAAACAAACAAACAAAAAACTGATTAACCAACTACGAAAAGAGCTCTATAGGAATGTGAATGCCACTTTTCCTTTTATTTCTTCTGTGAACACAGTAAGCCTACCTATTCTGATATCTTCATCTGACCTTTTTTTTCAGAAAATATACACTGCACTAGGCCCTCTCTCAGGAGGAAAATTATACCATTGTTACCTTACAGACAAGAGGGGCAATGCCCCAAATGTAATTTGGCACTCAAAATCTTTCAAAATCTTCCCTCGAGGTGACTCTTCCAACCTTTGCTCTCTGAGTCGCTCAGCCAGCACCCTACATTCTAGCCAGCATTGTCTACAGTCCCCAGGCTGCCTTGCCCAGCACTGCCAACAGGTCTCTGCTGGCCTCTCACACTCATGGAATGCCTGACTCTGCTTCTTTGATGCATAATCCACTAAATCTGTCAAGGCAGCTTAAATCTCACCACCCTGAAGCCAGGTTTATTCTCTCCTCAAAACCAGTCATCTCTTCCCTCTCTGAATCCCCAAACACTTGTCTAACTCATCAATTCTGCACACACCCATCAACAAGTGTTTATTCGTTGTCGTGCCTCTGCCCTTGGCCAGGTGCTTTGGACCTAAAACTACAAAATTCATTAAAATAACAATGTTACTTATCTCACACACAAACAATGCAAGCCGTGACTTTAAAAATATCTGGCAGCCAGTCTACTGCCAAAGTCCACACATGTAACCATTCCACAGTGTGCCTCCCGGTTTCTAGCAGGAGTTCTTACACACACCGCAGGCTTCCTTGAGCCAGGCCTTGCTGAGGGTTTACAGGAAGCACTGTTTTGCTCTCTCAAGTTGCTGTGAAAGTAAGTACAGTACATAATTAGCTCTGTTTTATGGGCGAGGAGAATGCAGCACGGGAACATTAAGCAACGTGCCCAACTATTCCATTTGTTTGCACAGCCCCATGATTAAGAGGTGCCTTGTGTACTTGCCTGTGCATTTTCCGGGACTCCCTGAGCTTACCAGAAACGATTCCAATCATAATAAACAATCAGACAATAATACAGAGCTCTCTGCAAGTGAAGGAGGGAAGAGGCGACAGGGGCATTGAAGGGAAAGGTGAGGACAGGGAAAGGAAGTGGCCTGGAGCTTCCCATTAAAAATATATCCTTACAGATGTTTCCTCTTTATTCCATCGATCATAAATGAGTTTTGTGCCAAACTAACAAAATCAATACATAGGTTTAATGCATTTTCCAAATATTTAGAAACTATCTTTACCACCCATATTATACAAACAAACTTTCCCAGCCAGCCTCATAATCGGCACAGTAAAAACCCGCTTTTGACCTTCAATTTTGCCTCATTTTAAGCTGCTGTGTTGAAAATGAAGGGCAAAGGAAGGTTAATTTTTCTCAGTGGGTATATTTTTATAGGTGTAACTAGAGAAAAGAAACAAGAGCTCCAACCAGGAACAGAAAAAGAGGAATTACTGCACTCTAATTCCTTGAAAACTCTGGAATACGTTACATTGCCTTCTATGGTATGTGGTTCACAAGTCAAATTTTTAATCCAAGTTTGAAAGACTGAAAGGAATCTTAAAATTCAATGAAAATGATCTACAAAAAAGGTCCCTGTTATGATATGCTCCATTGAGAGACTTCACATTTGGCAAAAAGACTTTCTTTTTGTCTTAAAATAGAATTCAGAAAATGGTAGTTTAATTTTTTCTCTTTGTTTCAATATTTCAAGAGTGCTTCTCCACTCAGTCTCTGGAAGCATTTAATTACTAACATGCTGCTATTTTAGATAATGTAGAAGATTTTCTTTGCATGAATTCTAATGTTAAAATTTCTATGTCTTTTTCTTCTTTCATGCTAAGGAAAAGACTGAAATGTACAAACGATGCTCTATTTCTTTACATAAACACACACATTCTTTGTATCTTTTCTTTTTTCTTTGGTACCAGGATCAAACTCAGGACCTTGTGCTTGCGAGGCAGGCGGCGGCACCACTGGGCTAAATCCCTGGCCCTCACACACACTCTTATACAGAGGTCTGATAGGACTTAAAAACGTTCCCTAAAATTTCGTGTTATTGAAGAAAATAAGTATTGTTCATAATCATTGCTGAAACCCCCTCTTCATAAAATGGACTTTCACTAACAGAAGGATCGCTACATTTTCAAGCAGAAGACACCTGGATCATTATAGAGCCAAACAAGTAAAGTAAATCTATCATCTTGCCAAGGAAAGCATCCTCAAAATTCTCCGTGCTGTATTATGTTCCCATGTCATCACAAATCTACATTTACATATATGAGATCGTAAACTTACAGAAAAATAAATGTGCTGCACATACTTACTTTTTAAGATCAAAGTAATAATTAACAAATACACACTTGCTTGGTTTTGATCCTTTCAGTATGTTATTAGCGCCTTCAAAAATCAGCACTTAGATTATACTTAGGTTTTAAAAAAGACAAGGCAGTACATACATTCATAAATATGTGATAACTAAAACCTCATAAACATTCAAATGTCCTATATTTTTCTGACTTGTATTCTAACACAAGTGACATGTTTCAGATGCTCATAAACATATTTTGTTGAATGGCTATAAACGTGTTTTGGGGCACTGGATCCTGCTTATATACTCATATTGCTGTAATTAGAAAATAAAATGTATTACATCATTAAGTGTCAGGCCCTCCCTATGACAGTACCAAGGACCGATCACCCACTGGCTTGATTAGACAAGTATACAGGGCTCATGATTGAAGAGTTTCATTTTCATCATAAAAGGGGCTAGAGCATTACAGTTTCTCCTCATAAATGTGAAGTTGTTAGGTAAATAATTAATAACTCCGCTGTGACAATGCACACGTAATGAGCAACTTGATTACCAGATTTAAACACCAAGCCTGGGAACTGCTGAATATGAAATATAATTATGGTTGTGGTGTGTTAACAAACAATCATTAAAAGGTAGTGTTAATCTAATCAAATAAACGTTTTTTTGATAAAGGAAATAATCTGGCATGTTTACAATTGGAAAACAAAGATCAAACATCTCTGTTCAATCATCCTGAACATCCATACTTCCCAACACATGAGGTTAGAAAAGACTGCCTTGGTTTGTAAAAACTGAGAGCCACATTGATTTTTGAAGAATTGACTTTTGAGCCGCACAATTCGTGCCTGCGTGGTCTTTGCTATTATTAACTCTGGTGATACTTTTCTGTTACCACTGTGCACTATGCCAAAAAAAAAAAACAAGTCATCTCACTCTTCTCTTGTCTGTGGCACCTTAATCTTTCCACTTAGCTTCCTTTACGTGGCTTAAAGGTGGATTCGCATCAGTTGCTCTCTGGACACTGGACGTGAGGCCTGTATCACAGGTGCTATGCTTCTGCTGCCCAAACGACGCAGGAAGCAGGGATTCGCCTTGGCAGGTCAAATTCCCTCAGCATGTCAAGAAACAGCAAAGCTGAGTCCCAGATGGACTCTGATAATCCCAGTGTCACAAAATAAACTGTGTGACAGCCACCCATTAGGGCTCAGGAGAAGTGACTGGAGCCATTTGTAATGGTGACACTGTCCTCGGAGTGATAATATTCTCTGGCTCATGTGATTCAGTTTGTTTGCTCAACAACTTCGTATGTGTTTTTCCTGAGAGGAAGAACTTCAGTATATATTTACTTAGAGCTTTTAATTTATACTTCCTTTCCTTTTAATTGGTGTCTTGTGACCTAAAATTAGCTGGTGAACAGACTATCTCACTCAAACTCTCTCAGCTGAGTTGGCAATAATTAGCCCCACCATCGCCTGAAATTGAGCAGACATCTGGAGACAGCGTTTTATTTCTTCCCTGGTGCTTTCTAGCCATATGTAGAGAGTGATTTCTTGTATTTGACATATAGTCATATTAATTATTACCCCCAAGCTGGAATTAGGTTAATCATTTCATGTTAAAAGAGAAGTTCAAACAGCCTTGCCTGAAACCTCACTGAATAAAAAGCCTACACAAGAAGAAATTCTTTCACAAAACCCAAATTGTCAGAGCACTGCAGTTCCCCCAGTAAGCCTGGTATCACGGAGACAAGGAAGAAAAGGTCACGTGGCCTCTAAAATTCCACATTTGCTGCATACATTTGCTATAGACATTCCTCTGTCCATTCTTTTGTTTGTGTGGTAACAAGATACAGCTACCAAGAGACTGAATTAGTTTGTCCAGATGAGTGAGGAAAATATGCCCACAG